TCATCATCTGGCAATCGACAGGATAGTCAGCTTGATGAACCGAGTAACAGCTTAGTACCACAATGAAATTTTTTTTTTTTCGTAAATGGTAACTATTTCACCTTTTCCAAATAATTTATGAAAAATCGTTAACAGATATCGATTAAGTATTTTAAAAATCGTTTACCAGTAAGAAGAAATCAAGATGAAAGCCCTCTAATGACATAAAAACATGTGTAAAAGTCCTGCGGCATCTCACGACAAAATGATGACGTGATGTGGCAGATATACATGGTGTTCAAATCACAATGAACTCTGGGAAAGAGAATGATTATCTCTACTATGCTTCGTCAAACTGTGTTCATAAATGAGCATACTTGTATTACATTTTAAAGGAGTCTGTTGACAAAATGACTTGATTGATACAAAACGTGACGTAACGTAACATTCACGTGTCATGTTAACTCACCCGAGTCTCATCATCCAACCTTTTGATAATCTCATCTTTGTCTCTCAGTTGATTTTTCAGTAGTTTGACTTCATCTGATAAGTCTAATCTTTTAGACTTGCAACTTTCGCTACATTCGCCAATCCTGTAATTGTCAACAAATGCACACATTAGATAACTGTAAACACTTATTGATTGTCACATTTCGCACATGTGTTGAGCAGTAACTGGTTGGTAAGAACCAGTCGTTCACACATAAATAACAGCGTTATTCACTGTTATTTTTATTAAATATATGTGTATGTGTTCCTTGTAATAAAACAACTTGTAGGCAATGTTATCATAGTAAATCACAAAACAGTACTGGTCAGTGAGTGACATTTATTAACAGATGCTCACATGCAACAAATCTATGTTGCTAAGACGTGCAACACTGTAACATGCTGTGAAACACCGATTGAAGAGCCGGTGAAAATAGCTAAAGTCAAGTAAACAGCACAAACTCAACTGACAATCCTGAACAACCAAATTTATATATATTGCACATGGAACAACTATTTTAAAGTACACATTTTTTGACCTTGTTTTCACCGTAATGGTGGCTAGGCAGTTAAAAAAAATGCCCGTCCCCCAAGAATAAACCAAATATTTGGAAAGTTTTGTTCTTATTTCATGTCAACAAATGATAAACATAAAACAGTAATATATATAAGCTAATGTATAACTTCGGCAAAACAAAGACAAGACAAGACAAGACTATTATCGAACCAGATTCAACAAATTGTAAGGCAGTTATCCTGTATTGGAGTACTATTTAATTTCATGCGCAGAAATATATGTTGTGACCTCTCATATCAGCATGCTATAACTGTTATATTAATAACACTTCTTGAAAGTTCACTCAGCTGGATGTCCTATATTTCCATGGAGAAACAACAAGAAATTGACTCTCTCGCAGTTCTATAGGCAATACTAGAAGGGTTGCTTTATTTACCTGGAAGTTGCCAAGGCAACAGCTCTTGTAGCCGCTGCCTCTTCAGCTTTTTTGTTCTTTCTTTCAGTTTGAAGTGCAGACTCTGCCAACCCTCGATTCTCTTTTTCCAGTTTCAATTTTTGTTCCAGCTTACTCAAGTTCTGCTTATCTTGCTGTTTTTGGGTTACCAGATTATGTAATCTGGGGTAAAGAAACAAATGAATTACTTCGGATTTCTCCAAAAATTTCCAACATTAAATATGACATTGCTTGAGAAATTTGGCAAAAAAAACAACCTGTTTTCTAAAAATGTGTATTTTCTTTGGCAAACTAATTCATAAGCTTTTATTCACAAATAAGAATTACCATAAAAACTTGATTAATTCGCGGTCTCTATTAGTTCTCGCACCCATTTTATTTTCGAATGCTAATTTTTAAATGAATCCTTTTAATTCGCGGCGTTCAAAAACATGTTTAAAATTGTATCCTATTAATTCGCGGGCCAGAATAAAGTGGATAACTCAGAATATATTGCATGAAGACATTAAAAATATACATATAATTTTATGTTATCAGTACTTGGTGTTGTCACAATCGCAGATGATCTTCGTCATTACAGCCTTTCAGTTAGCAAGCAGTTTAGGTTCGGTAAAGATTTGACGTGAAAAAAATCATTCCCCCACGACACTACAGATGTTGGGCAAGATTATTACTTAGTCGATAAATATCCATCGGTCAGCACATCGATTACGAATTTCCGTGATGGAAAGCTTAGTACAGGGCTTTTTCATCGCTGGTCCACAGGGTTGCATCGACCTTGTGCCCGCCATTATTCTATTACGTCATTCAAGTGAACCGCCCTATGGTGCGTAAATTGACATTTTTGATTGGTCGGGCGATTGACCTCGTGTCACATTTTCAATATACCGGATTCTGTAAAAAACACAGAGTTAAGCAGTCATGTACCTTCTATAAATCTAACCTTGCACACATAATCTTGTACTGATGTGTTTTTTGTCCAAGAAAGACGTTCCCTTTCATTTAACCCCCAGTTAACTCTTCGCGTCCATGGTATTTGTGAGAGTTAAAAGATTTTTTGAACAAATGACAAGTAACTATATTGATTTGCGTCAAGCTGGGTGGCCCGAATTTAAATATCAGTGAATGAACTCTGGATGTCATTGCCCAGTGCCGCACGTAATTCAAACACTTGGTTATTAGAGTTCAGTCGAAATGTACGTGAATAATGCGATGGAAGTCCGCTGTCCAGAGTTTATTATATTATAGCTATGACGTATGGTATGTTTATGTTTGCGTAATTATTATGAATGCAACGCATTATCAAGTCGGTGATATTGAAATATTCACAGACCCAATACCCCGGGTCAGTGCCCTCACTATAGTTAAAAAAAACTAATTATCATGAAAGCAATACATAACGAAGTACAGAGCCGGTACAATATTGTAAACAAATTTGCGTAATTAGAAAAGCAGTGCACTAAGTAAACGACGTTAAAGTTGATATATTCAAGCCAGTACAGAGTTCCATACAAGTTGCGTAATTACAGTACCTTCGGATATAATAACAATTTTACTAGTTTAACGCGCGGGAGAGAAAGAAAAAAAGGTTGCTAAGGTAACGCGCCAGTTCAGCGTGTGACTTGGGGTCAAACTTCGGTCAACACACACTTGATGTCAGCATCGCCGCGCAACAAGTTTCGCAAAAAAGTACTTGAAGTTCAATTGCGTTCCAAAATGATGTCGTTGATCACTCAGTTGTCGCAGCGTGTGTTGTGTCATGTCCATGATGCACCCCGTTTCGACTTTCGACTTAGTGATGCGACCTCTCACCAATGTATTAAAACACTTTGAATTTATACTTTGCATGATTATATTTGGTCAACGCGAAACATTATTTTTTCTAAACATTTTCTGAGACCATTTTTATCAACGCAGGGTTATTTTTCCCGACAAGATGGGCTTCGTAATATCTGCCATAACATCACCCGGGCTATGCCTAGAAAAATAAACAAGCAGCCTATCGGCTGTTAGCAATGCACATTTCAACTGAAGACATAATTAGAAAATGAACAATATGAATAGTATCAAAGCAATCGGACTTACAGTTTTTAACAAGAAGTCGAAAATATCACTTTTTACCAAAAATTACAAAAATATTCACCAAAATTAGAGAATTGAGGATATCATCACAAAATGAACAAATCTGAGAAAGGTCCACGTGTAGTACCTATATATGTAATATCAAAGCAATCAGACTTGCGATTTTTAACAAGAAGTCGAAAATATCACTTTTTACCAAAAATGACAAAAATATTCACCAAAAATAGAGAATTAAAGATATCATTACAAAATGAACAAATCTGAGAGAGGTCCACATGTAGTACCTATATATGTAATATCAAAGTAATTGCACTTGCGGTTTTTAACAAGAAGTCGAAAATATCACTTTTTACCAAAAATGACAAAAATATTCACCAAAATTAGAGAAGTGAAGATATCAACATGAAATGAACAAACCTAAGAGATGTCTACCCAAGGTACATATACACCAAGTATCAAAGCATTCAGGCTTGTAGTTTTCAAGAAGAAGTCGAAAAAGTAAAACATTGACACGGACGACGACGGACAATCACTCATATGATAAGCTCCGCTCGACAAAGTCGACAGCGGAACTAAAAAAAGGCAGTGCAGCCAGACGGCTACTTTGTAGCCACGTGTTCAATGTTTGTTTGTGTACAGAGTGACCTTTGCCATTTCACTGTTTCATTTCAAGTGTAACATGGTGCGTGGTCCTTGATGCAGTGCGTGTTCTTCGCCCGACTATACGCCATGAATGTCGCTAGCCACGAGTCTCAGAGGCACTAAAAAAACTCCTGTAATCGTGTTCATTGGAAAACAAAACAAATCACTAATAAATTTATGAAAACAGCTCCTTTTTGAATCGATCAAAAAGTCTCTTTTAATTCGCGCACCAAAAACCAATAATTTCCGTTTTTACGCTATTAATTCGTGCACTTCAAAAAATAATTATTTTTACTACCGCGAATTAATCGAGTTTTTACGGTAAATGGATACTATTGAATCGGCACATATAATAAATGACCTTTGAACATCAATGAATTAGTTTAGGTGCTACTATAACTTAACACTTAGTCTCGTGTTGATAAAAATCACAGCAGAACATGGTGTTCCTGAGAAAGCCAAGTTCTTACCTTGATTGCAAGCATTCGTTGGTTTCTTTCACCTTATGAAGCTCTGACTTAACGGCTTTTTCCTCCAATTGTAAAGAGACAATCTGTGACCTCAAGTCTTGTTCTGTCTGTCGACTTCCCTGCAAGTCAGCCTTTAGCCTTTTAATATCAGCCTCCAGTCTACACACGATAAACAAATTAATTTAAAACATTTATCAAGATGATTTGTTAAAATTAAAAATAATATAAACCTGACACCCGATACATGTTGCGATTAAAGAGAATGTCAGCCACATGGTAACTATCAGCGCAATGTTTATAAATTTACTTATAAAAAATAGAAACCAAGTACAGAATTGTATAACCATTGAAGACACTATTTTAATTCAAAGTTCGTAACTGTAACAGTCTTCTAATGATATCACTGGAAAATAAAACAAAGGTTAAAACCCACCTGTAGCATCTGTCGTCTCTGTACGTCACCACATTGGAGGTGTAATCCAGATTTTCAGTTCTTGACACATTCTTTTTCTTGTTCTGAGCTATAGTATTTTCCTTGGCCATATTGGCATTTTTAGACTTTGCCGTAGAACCGACACTGTTGGATTTAAAACTTTTCATGTTTTCATTGGCAAGATTTTCCTTAGTCCCGTCAAAGTCGGCGTTGCTACGTTTATGTAGCTTTGTCTCTATAAAATCGCCTTCTCCGAGGGAGGAGTCGGACGAAGCATTGTTATTACTTGTATGCTTTTTATCCTTTGTTTTGTGCTCCGGGTCGGAAATTCCTTTTGCACCTGTGCCGTTGGGTATAGAGGCACCTTTTTTATGAGATATCCCATTCGCGACAACTTCTTCTGTTTTAGATGATGTAATAGCTAGAATAAATCATACAAACACTCAAATTATATATTTAACTGCCACAATCCCTGAGTTTGTTTTGTTGAATACTAAATTTCATCACACAGCAATGATAACAATTAAATAAGTAATGTTCTCAGAAAACTATTGTGTTCTAGGGGTTGTTTCGTCATACAACTATCTTTAGGTCTCCACTTCAAATCAAAGCAAAGATGAAGGGGAAGAGACAGACGGAGAAGTAGAGAGGTGAAAAAATATTTCTACATTTTCAGATGTGGAAGAGATAGGGAGAATGGCACTGAAAATCTAGTCGGGCACCCACCCCAACAAAATTACCATGTCCCTTGATAAAAGTGTCAGAATGGCCGTTAGCATTTCATTTATTAATAGACTAATTTTGGTAGAACCCTGGTAGAACCCTAAAGTATGGAGGTGCTTGTATTTCCACTGAGCATGGTTATGCCAGGATAGTGATGATGATGATCAAAGGTAGTTGGTATAATTAAATGAGTACCGTAAAATCTGTATTAGAAGCCGCATCTCAATAGAAGTCGCACCCATTCTTTTTGAAGAATTGAGAATCAAAAATTCATCATTTCTAATAAGTGTAGATGCTCTACTAGAAGCCACATCCCCTCTGTTGCATTGTACTATTTTAATACAGATTTTACAGTACTTACCTTTTGTTTTTTCTGTTATTGAAGACGATGAAGATGATGATAATGTTTGTTGTTCTGGTGGCAAGGCTTGCTGTAGCAACTGCATATAAAAATCATTATCTTTTGCTACTTCTTTCTGTTTTCTTAGTCGCATTCTATAACTTACGTAACTTTTAACACCAAAACCGAGCGTAACCATAGGATACCCAATACTGGAAAACAACATAATTTCAAGATAATTTCAGATTATTCACAAATTTATATTTAATAACATAATAGTATATCACATTGTATCTGATCAATGTATCTAATATCTGTTTTTAGTGCAACTAAACCAAGCATATACTGGTGAATGATGTCCCCATGAACATATCCAGATAATCAATACGCATTACATCTGTGATAATGCCTTCTAGAGTTGAAAACGTAGATTTGCACAAAAGCAAGTATTTTCAATATACAGCAGCCAAATATATTCACAATATTAAAAATTTATAAGATAAGGATGTGAAACTTTCATAACCAAGTGACTATTATGCTTTGTGAGTGGAAGCAATCCTGTTTCGTTTGCTTCAATCAAACATAGTTGTAAGCAAGAAAGTGTAAGACACTTACCAATGTGCTGCGAACGGTCGACAGAGATCTAAGTGAAAAGGTAATGCTGTTCTAAGTTCTCTCAAACGCACCGACGCTTCAATATAAACAAATAATAACCAAAGCGAAGCTGTCGGAAGACATATCCCACGTTCTAAGAGAAGAAGTAGAAAAACATGTTCATTATATGGGCATATAGTCATGAAGGTAAATTGCTCACTATAACATATTATTACGCATGCATGAATGCATTGTCTCGTTTTAAAAAGGACTGCATGTAAGAGTTAATTATTCATCTTTTATTGCAGGCATCGCAATATTAAATAATAAACAACCAGGTCTGTAATTATAAAAAAAAAACATTTTTTGCAAAGTTGCTCATGATGCAACCGTACTAGACTTCCACTAACCCTTCCTCCCCAAGTCATTACGATTTGTCTACAACAAATTAGTCAATTCAGTCACTAATTGGAGACTAATTTCAATGAATTATTCTGAGGAAATAGTCACAATAAAAAACATGCTATCATTCAAAGAACGTTAAACTGAACATCAGGAAAACAAGTTGATAATTTGCTCTTAAGAACAGCGAGATATTACTAAACACCAACATTATTTTATCTTCAGAGTAGACCCAGCTATGGGTCAAACCACTAGTCACAAAATGCATTCTCATGCTATCAAACCATCGCCTGTCTTTTCAAGCTTATTTTGTTTTATATAAACTCAATAAATTATTTTGATAATGCCAACTGCATTTTAGACAATGTGGGACATATGCACATGCAGTGGTTCAGCAATTCGATAAGGTACTAGGCACATGCAAAGATTGAACGGAATCGGTCCACAGGATTCTGAAATATGACTCTGGACAGACTGACGCACGGACGGATGGACACACGGATGGACAGACAGACTCAGGAACTCAGACGATCGGGGACATGTATCCTAACATGTATGATCTATGTACTAAATTTGAATGAAAACTGACAAAGCATGTCCAAAATTCGACATTTTCAAAAAAACAAGATGGCTGCCAGTCGGCCATCTTTGATCCAATTGTGAAATAAATCGTCATGGACATGTATCCTAACGTGTCTAATCTATGTACCAAGCACATGCAAAGAATGAACGGAATCGGTCCAAAGGATTCTGAAATATGACTCCGGACTGACGCACGGACGGACAGGGACTGAATTATAAGTCCCCGTTTTCAGACTTCGTCCGAACGGGGACTAATAAGGGTATCCATATTTTGACTGTATGTAAGACATTTGTTACATGCCTTAGATGAAATTCATAAAATTTTAGACTCCAAAACAACCACTAACATCATCACTTAACAAAATCAAGCCAAACTTTTGTGAGCACTGCCATCTTGAGCAAGCATTCTCTGTACAAGTGGTAACAGCCAATACATGCTTCACTGAACCACAAAATACCGGTCCTACTATTTAACGCCCGGACACGCGAGGGAGTGTCCGGACACGCGAGGGAGTGTCCGGGCACGCGCGGAGGCGAACAGGGGGGAATACCTAACGCGCGGGGCAGCGGCAGCAATCCTTGTACTGTATAATATTCGTTTATGCTCAAAATTTGAACCGGAGT